CTTATCTAAATATATTTATATATAAAACTAGCACTTGAAAATTAATTCATAAATTTACTATTTCAGATCATACGCCCAACAGTCAGAGAACTGTTACACATGCCAAAAAAAAAAAAATGGATAGATTCTGTTTCAGAGAGACCAAAAAGCCGAAAACCTCAGATTGTAACTTTGGCGAAGTGTAGATTTCCAGAAAAGAGTAGCTGAAATTCTTCGGGTATTTGTTAAAGTATAACTGCTCTCGATAAACACTGGTTGAAAAAAATGTCTGCAAATGCTATTGAGAAACAGAATGCTCTAGAAAATACTCCTTGATAAAAATTTTGAAAGCTGCAATACGAAAGAAGAAATTTTCACTGATGAGGTCGCTCTATCAGCACAAGCACACTATCTGAGCTTTTACAAATTCTGGTCAAAAAGAATTGTTTGGGAGTGGTGGCCGATTTGCCAAAATGGTGGTGCTTGAAAATTTTCACTTAAAATTTTCACACTGACGGTTCTTCGCTTTTCTATTGTTTTTTTGACTTTTTGACTTTTCTTAGCATCAAACTTCTTTTAGTATCCAATTTCTCTTGGCATCCAACTTCTCTTAAATAACAAAGAAAATATGATACTTTTATTTAAAATTTTAATATAACTCCCATTACTGGAAATATCTATTGTCGACAATTGATTATTTAGATTCTGCATTTTTTTTTAAAAAAAAAAACGTATTGGGGATGTAGTTCAGAATAGAACAGAAGGATTCTTCCCCATTGCCATGGACGTCGCCGGAAATGTGATATCGCGCCTTCCACTTCCATATCCCAAGTTTGTATTCGAAATATTGGGCGTCGAGTTGACAAGGGTTGGTGTGGATCCGTTCAGACTCGCGTACTGGGCAATCGCAGTCTGCATTGGGAAGCCCACATTAGCAAATAGGGTTGAGGTGGAGGTGTTCGACGAATAGTCCAATGAAGTAGTCGAGCCATTTATGTTGGAGTATGGCGTGACTTGGGTGTATCCACCTTGAGCCTGCATTTGCTGGGATTGGATTTTTGGGTGCAAGTTATGATCCAAAGACTGCTTACGCTGCTGGATGGGGGGTCTCACAGGATGAAAGCTTTGTTGAGGTTGGGATTGTATTCGACTGCCTGAGTACAATGCCAGGGGTTCCTGTGGTTGTCTGAGTTGATGGTTATTGGAGTCTAATTGCATAGAAATGTCTATGGTTTGTCCTGGGCTTCCTTTCCTCATATGTTCAGGTTCTTGCTGTATCGGAACAGGACTTTCCTTTTGGGGTGAGGTGTTTTCCCTTGGTGCTGGAGGAATTGCAATTGATTTGTTAGTTGGTGGGAGATCAAATTTTTCAAAACTATCAGGTACAGGTGTTGGTGGTAAGGGTGGGAAAAATTCGGGCGCAGCAAGTCGAGGAGATACTTCGGCAGAATTGTGTCGTTGATATTGATTTAAAGACTTTGATCTTTTAATTTGTGGTAATTGATTCTTCAGATTATTTGCAGAACTACGACCCAATTCATGCGATCCATCATGTAATTCTTGTTTCGAATAGACCGATTTTGAGCTTTTGCTGCTGTAATCTAATTCTGTTTTCGGATATTTTCTTGACATTGTCGTCGGAAAATCTCTTTCACATAAATCGTCCAAATTTCGAACCCATGATGGTGGTTCTGATACTCGCTTTGTTGAATTGTCTACAATCCCAACGTACTGCTCATAAACTGTTGAATCAAAGGATTTGAAGTTTAATTCAATGAAGTTTAATTCCCATTGAATTTTCTCTTTGAACGTCAGGTTTTTAGGAGGTTTAGGAAGTGGCTGATTTGGTTCTATAGGCCCAAGGGACTTTCCACCGTTAGCATAATAATACTGTTGCTGTTGTGGAGGACTAGGGCCCTTATTTACTAATCCTTTGTCTTTTTTCTTTTTCCTTCCGTAAGTTAATGGATTCTCATCCAATAAAAGTTCTTCTAAATCATGAGTAGCATCGAAGTTTGCTTGATTAGCCTAA